GCTTTTCCTCATGCGCATTAAATTTACTACCTCCAACGTGAGGTACTAATCAATGCACATTAGGCTGCCCTAATGCGCAGAAGTGAAAGCGCACACGTTTTAGGTGATACTTAGTGCGCAATAGCCTATTTTATTGCACATTAGCATAATAGCACATTTTTTGTGTGCCGCTTTAATATGCAGCAAAATAGGCTACTGAGCATTAAAGTGCACATGTAGAAGCACTTGGTGAGACCTAACTGAATCTTCAGATTGCTTCTTTCTTGCTTCGTTCCTGCTCCACCACACTGACCGCTCCTTAGGGAGTAAATGTGAATAAGGATGGCTTTTTGTGCTCACTCTCTTTTCCTTATTTTGTACATGGCATCCACTCTGTAATAAGAGGGCTCAGTCAATATGTAGCATGTCCCAATAGTGAAGAAAAATAAAGATCATTAAAAAAAATTAACCAGAGGTTGCCAAATTGCCAGGGTCATTAACATCAACATAAAGCAGTGGCTGGAAAACTCAACATTTTAAGGGTCTCTAATAAAAATACTTTGTGATGAAAAATTAGTGTCATGTTGAACACTGTAACATTCTGTTAATCACTACGGGGTTGTACAAGTCGCAGCAAGAATGCTTTACTCTTTATTGTCCAGGAATATACAAAAAGGGTGGCTGTTGATGTAACCTTTGAAATAATTCTGAAAACAAATGAAGAAACTGGATACTGTTATTTCAGATGTACACTTCTCAGAAAAAAATATTAGGCTTTGAAATTGCAGATTTTTTGCCTGATTTCAATTACATGCGATTCTAAATATGCTGATGACTTTTTAGTTATTTTTTGTGCGTGTGAAATAAATAGCATCATCCATATTTTTTCATAGCTTAGTTTCATTGCATTCATAGCACTCACAGGTTTTTATGTTTTGTTTCTTTTTACTCCAGATTTCATGTCATTTTTGAGGTGAAGAGATAACCACACTAGGAACCAGGATCTCCAATTCACAGTCACTCCAGTAAAGGCAGCAACAAATTAATTTTATGTAGACTGCCCTGACAATGACCTCAACCTTGAGCGAAACAGACCCCCTTCTGTAAGGTGAGGAGCAGGTCAATCACCCTCTGGATTCAGCCTTGGGCCTCTCTGAATAAGCAGAAAATGTCAAACCGTGCAGACTGACTCTGTGTATCAGAGTGTTGATCATTGCAGGATACGTGGAAATCCCCAGAAAAATTCTTTAGGATCTGTTATAAGCAATGAATGCCATTAGTCCCCATCCCCTTCTTCACTATCCACTTTTGAACTCCTTACAAATGTTGAGTTGTTTCTTAGCCACTTTAAAGTGGCACTTCCACAAACAGGAATGCTAGCAGAACATGTAAGAATAAGTGTCTTTTCCTTTACCCGCTTAACAGCAAAGTTGCTCAGTTGGTTTGCCAATGCTGGTGATTTTTTTCTCTATTAATGAAACACATGCTTTTTAAAACATTTTTTGGTTTGCTTTTGAGAAAACAGGAGAACTCCTAAACTTTCTATAGAATTAAACGGGCCATTAGCACAGCTTGAAACATGGGACGGTGCAGAAAGCACAGGGGCAAGGGGTACCACAGGAAGCATTAGTGTCTGGAGTGGCACAAGGGGTCCCACAGCTCTCCAGTTCTACTAGGCAGGAGCCCGTAGCATGGACCTGCCTTTGAATGGTGCAACGTTTCCTGCTGGATAGTGCAACAGGGGCAGAGCAGAGCTCTTTGAAAGCACTAGTCTCACCATCCTCACCCAGGCTGTGCAAAGGACAAGGATTTCTCAATCTCCTCCTCCTCCCCAATGTGCCCATATGAGACAGAGGGGCAATTAGCTCCACTCCTGATGGCTTTCCAAAGAGCATGGCAGAGCACTGATGTTAGCTGGATTGCTCAGAGCAGGACATTCAGCCTAGTGAGGGTCTTGCACAGACTGTCACCCGTGCTTTGGCCCATCAAAAATGGAGGGGACAAATCCTTGGAGGAGGAAAGGGGCATCAGTAGCTACTGAGTGGGGGCATGAAGGGCACAGCCTCCACATCAGACCTTAAATGCTGGAGGCTGCAAGTGAAGGTGGAAGAGTGAGGAAAAAACCCGGACCCTGTTTGCCTCCCTCTCTGCCACACGAACACAGGAGATTGGGCAGGGGGGACCTGTGGTCTGACCCACAGTTCACAGATTCATGGATGTCTGGGTCAGAAGGGAGATCATCGAGTCCATCCCATTGAGTCCGAGACCATCCAGTCAACAGATCACTGAGTCCCGACTTCTTGCCCCGCCAGGGCAGGAAAGAGAGCTGGGGTGAGATGACCCCAGCCAGGTGCTTGCGCAGCCTCCTCTTAAAGAGCCCCAGGGCAGCAGGGAGCATCGCCTCCCTTGGAGCCCGTTCCAGATTCTGCCCTAAAGAAATTGTCCCTGATGCCCAACCGAAACCCGCTCGCGCTCGGTCTGTGGCCCCTGTTCCTAGTTACTCCAAGGGGGCAATGGCCACGTTTACCTGAGCAGCAGCGCTCGGGAGACCTGCAGCTTCCCCTCTGCCTCCTGCCGCTTCCCAGGAAGTGTCCCTGGTTGTGGCCGCACCTGCCTCCTGGGAGGTCGCGGGGTGCGGCTCCGCACGGCTCGAGCCA